AAGCAATCGATCGTCCGATAAGATTTTCCCATCTTTTGCAATTTGTTTCCTTTTGCGTGGATAAGTTTCTAATGGTTTTGGCGTAGCACATCGTGTCTTGAAGGACGGTTGAAGACAGACAAACAGCATTTGCGACATAAATATTCTATAATATCCTATAGTATTTTAGAAAACTATCTTCATGATAAGGAAGTCGCCTACTACAAGGACTGCATGAGGATAGCGTAAGGAAAAAAAAAATATATATATATATATTTTAAATGCGCTTTCTCAGAGAGACTGACCGACGATAGTACCGCAGCGAGTAACGCCGCGTCGTATTTGCGCCATATTACACCCCATCTCGTCTGTTCCCACATATAATGTGCTAAAACCCACGTACGGTAGAACATGTAACTATTTATCGATTTGTTTCTGTCCAGTCCTTTTCAGGCTTGATTAGTAACATCTTTCGTATTATTAAGGTTAAGATCTATCTCGGCGATCTTTTTCTCCCATATACAAATTAACGGTGGCGATTGAGAGCTTAAATACGCATTTTCTACAAATAGCGGTGTGTCGCCTGGAAGGTACACGTATTTACGATACAAATCCGAACGATGCAGGTCCATGTCTCACTTCAAGAATAAAGGTTTGATTTATTCGAGTCTTTTGAGCTGTTTGTATGACGACTTAGATTCCATTGGAAGGACACCTTCATTTCGACCAGGGATGCCCCCATTCGGCCTATATGGAGTGTGCCCGAAACAGCACAATGGTCTCCACGGCGGACCGGTGAGAACATGACCTCTGGCTTGCCGACTTTAATCAGTAGCTTAGCTTCATGCACGCAACACGACTGTCCGGTCTAGCGAGAGCTTGTCAGACATGAAACCGACTTTTTGTGAAGGTGACAAGAAGATCGTCGAAGTACAGCAAAACGTTTGTTTGTCCTGGTAAATCTTGAACACGGATTGACGGGTTACTCAGAAACGTACACACATTTGGTCAGTTTTGCGGAGCCTATAAGGTATCGCATTAGCCTCTTGCGGTACTGAGAGCAGAACACATTGTCAGTTCGTGGGCTAGCTTGGCTGGACCTAACGTCTTGTTTGCAGAATCAAGAAGCGACTCGACCCCAACCTTTAAACGGTATTTTAAAGGCCCCCCTTCACTCAGCAAACTGTCTCTTTTTACGTATCAAAACGACACTCAAATTAGATGCGAATATGTCGGTTACCGATTTTTCCATATAACCCATAAAGATTGGCGTTTTGAGAAGTGATTAAGCAGAGTTAGTAGTGTGCGTATCCGAGGGTCATTCGGCAGCCAATATGTACAGATGGGGCAATCAGTAAAGGTAATGCTTGCATAGCATCATAGATCTTCTCGATCAGTGTAATCGTGTTATCGCTGTTCGAAGGGCAAGCATATGCTATTGTAATACGGCATCTACTGCCCCTCAGAACTATTACATCATTCACCCTCTGAAGGTGTTACAGAGATTTTTTTAAAATCATAGTTGTACGGCACTGGTATTGCTCGACTAGGCTGGCATCGCCCAGATAGGTGTGCGAGGAAATGGGCGTAGAAGCCCAACAGCTCAAAGGGCTTTGACTCCTGTCTCAGTGAGTGTGATGATATCAATGGCCGTAAAAGCTGATAGTCGTAGCGCTAATACCGCACGATTTGCTCCCTTTACATTTCACTGCTCAAAAGATGATAGATTTCGTTTAGCTCCTCTTCCGTGTCCGAGTGCACGATTTTCATTGTTTCGACATGCTTGGTTTAGGGCCCTGCCCTGCAACCAACTCTGAGGCCGACTGCAGCTCGCTCTGAAGCGGACTTTGTTGTAACTAAACGTCTCCCGAGTATGTAAATCCGTCAGTGCCTGTCTAAGAAGGGCTGCTGGATTCGGGGACGCCACTCCTACCTCTGGGACGTTTTGTCAAAGTGGTGTTATCTGTCGAAACGGTTTTGACGGGGACGGATGTTAGTCGGACGGTGGCTCCACAAGGTTTATTTGTCGTTGGCACTCCGCCCCGGGGGTAGTTGCGCTTTCGGTGCACGGGCGCTTAAACATTTCCTGGATAACATTCCCTACGCTCGTCAATTTGTTTTGAGGTTTCGGTAATTAGAAAGAATGTAATTTTCTGTATTCGGATGGTGCAATTTTTTTGGCAACGTCCCCCTTGCAGCTAAACCAACTACTTTCAACGTTTTAGCTAAATTAAATTATGAGGATATAACCAATAGTATAAGGTTCAATAGATAGCGCAAAGAAATAAAGTAATGGACTTACAGAGTTTCTAGTCGAATACAGTTTAGGCAGGTAGTATTGTACTGATCTCTTTCTGTTTATCAATTACATTCGTTTCTAACGCTGTCAACCGATTTTTGCGGCGTCGTTTATAAACAGATTAGGGCTAACGTTTCCCAGGTGTTCTACGATCGGTCCGGGCATGCTTTTATACCTAGCTAGTGCCCCGTTGCTGTAAAAGGTGTTTGCTTAATTTCGTCCGATATATTTACAGTGACCAAAAAACGAAATCGCTCTTTTATTGGTATTCGGTACCCTAATGGGGTGGCAACTGTACCCACCCAAAACTTCCTCGAAACATTAGAGCCCTACGCATGTCAATCATCAGAAAGAAATCCCTAGTACTATATATTGCTATCTTATGACACACAGGGAGAGTATTTAACATCTATGGGAAAAATGCCTTTTCTCTGTAATGTGAATCCACACGCTACTGCCGTATAAAAAATGGCGCATTTTTTTTACTAAACTAAAAAGGCTAAATTTACCTAATAATGACATTTTTTTTGTAAACATTATCAAATTAGTTGCTTAACAAGAAATATCTTATTGTTTGATAATTGTTTCAGTTCTTCATTCAGTACGTTTTTCTCTACGGTTGATGTTGCATAGATGGGTTGCTTAGCCCTCTGATACCTCTGATTGTATATATTTAGACAACAAGCTAGTTTATGCAAACACATTTCCAACTGTAACTAACGATAGTACTGTTACTTACCACTACATGGTCTGGGTAAAAATATTCACTATTATGAAGAGCACAGATGGTTTTCAATATCACTTCAATTGAATGTAGTATGTGGAGTGTGCAGGAAAATGATTGCTACATAATTGTTCTGCACGTATAGAGATTACTCGTGTCACTCACAATTCCGCCAGCTTGTATTTCTGCCTTAATAGACCCCACCGCATCTGCCTTAGCTACTATCCTTGAAAATTGTTTCAGACGACTTGATTCCGACATAAAATGACCACGCCCAGCTTCGAACCTGGACCACTTCACGTCTACGTAAATTGCGCCATCAAAAGGATGCGTATTGCTACTTGATAGAGCCATTGCAGCATGTAGTTTTGGCTAAATTTAACCGAAGACGCTTCGCTTATGTCCTAAATATACGTATGCACAAATGGGTTTTTCACCTCATAACTTTGTAGGCATTGTATTCTAACTTATCGTATTTTTAGAACTTTCGACACGTTCCATTGTTCACAGCTGTTAGCTATCAAGATCTTAGACCATACAAATGACATATACAGGTGTCATTTCGTGAGCCTTTACTCTCTTCAAAAGCATCTCCCGTACACTGCCTAGAACCCATGACCTATTGCAACTGTTTTCACCTAATGTGATGTTTGTTTTTTGCTTAATAATTTACCGCCAGCTCGCGAATTTTGCAGCTTTTGTTGTGCAGTCGCTGTCTGACCGTTGTATTTGGCCAATGCGTTTTCCAAAAAGAATCCAATGCAATCATTTATCCTACGATAATAGCATCTCCCCAGCAGCTCGCAGACATCGCGCAGCTCGACCCACAGACAATTTAAGTTCCAACGAGGAAGATTGCTGAATGGGGAATTTTTGGGGTCGTGGCTATTTTGATGACCGCTGATGTTCTGCGCAAGTAAAACGGAGCCCACATAGGCTACTGGTAGAAAAGTGCCCGGGTTTCTTCACCCGCTTCGAGCCCCATACAGGCAAGCTACGCTGGCTGTGCATAGCAATCGAAAACGGAAAGGTAAAATGCTTATACTGTTTAGCAATCGCAAATTCGGCGTCGGATAGCGATTCCAAGCTATGATTTGTAGAAGACCACCTGAATACAAAATAACCCCTGTTCGTATACAACGTTTTCCTAAATAAGAAGCGTTCCCCGTTGCCAAAGGAAATAATCTGAACGATTTCTATCATGTTACAGGGGTAAAACCTTACTACTAGCTTCGTGGCCTGAAAAGTAGAATACAAAGAGCTTGTCTGACAATTAAATATTATCGATTGCTTCGATTACTGACTGACTTCATGGTGATCTCACAAACGACGTTTCTAACCCTACCAGCCCAAGCCTAGTTGACCGTCTTCCAGAAGAGGCCGTTCTAACGCGAAACTAACTACCATGGCAAGGAATTACTGCCGTTACGCGGGCGTTACTGCCTTCCTTCAGCTGTATCGTATTGCAATCGGATCGTCGCTAGAGAAAGATCTCCACAACGCTTTATGGCTCTGAGCAAGCGAGGTACTGGTCAGCAGATCAGAGATCCACTGATGGCCACCCGACCAATAGCTCAGTTCAATGGCAGCGGCTGCAAACCTAGATGGTGGTATCTGGCCTTTTTAGTGGGTTCACTCGAAAGTCACTGCCCCTATCGCTGGTTACAAACGTCCGAACAGCTTCCTCGCGACCACTGCTTCCCTGCTGCTGTGCTCGAAGCGTAGCATAGCGCATATATCCAGACACTACCAAGCGTCAAGCAGGCAAATTGTACAATTTGCGCTGTTGGCTGAATGCAGCAAAGTGACGCTGAGCGCTGACCGCACAAGCTCCGCCCCTAATCGCGTTAGCTCCGCCTCCCACCGAGTGAGCACCGTCTGCGCCGCGCATCGAGTGTCGGCCAGAGCGAACTCCTGTAGGGGACAGTCATCGGACGCTCACTGACAACGGCCGGAGCTTTGCGGAACGTAAGCCAGTCAGAACATTCGGAGTCGACTAAAGAACTGTGCTGGTACGGCGAGGCAAAGGCAACTTCCAGACTTCTGCTCTCTTCAGTGTCAATTCGGTTAGTAAGGCACAGCTGTCAATAGGAACGTCAGTCAGTAGACATTTATGTTTCTGTTTCCCTACGGACCCTTTCGTACAAGCTAAAATGTCCTCAAAAGATAACAAGTTGTTTAGTTCATGTACTCAAGCCTCGCTGCGATGCTGCTAAGGTGAAAAACGGAAGTGGATCCGTAGAGGATGTCGGTGTGACTGATATGAATCGAATGTCCAAAAAGGACTGTGCAAAACTCCTGACAAGGACGACGTTCGCTGAAGCTTTCTGATCGGTGAAGTGTAAAGTGTATAAAAACTACTGAGGTCGAGCATTCTGATCACCATTTAATTTGGAACGAATAATTTCAGGGGTCTCTTTCTACAGCAGTTTTCTACTACGTCACAAGAAATGTTCAGCAGAGCTTAGCCTTTTGTCGGTTTAAAATGCCGTTTGCCGTCGCTGACTCAAGACCGGAGTGACACCTCCGCCTGATTAGCAGAACCGTCAAGTGATACCTTCATAATTACCTTCCTCAAGCTTTTCCTCTTCTTCCAAGGGATTCTTTCCTGCGTCGACTCGTCATTTCATCTCGCTGGTTTGCTAGTAGTGCCCTGTTTCGCGTCTATCCTACCGCGTCCTGTCACGTTTTCACACTGCACTTAGCTCACTGCCGATGTCTATAAACTAACCGGCTGTGGGATGACTACAGCATTGCCATTTCACGCTGGGGCGATGTCCAGTATAAACTCTTACGGTTATTACAGCGACTACGGTGGTGGTTCCGATTATTGGACGAGCAATTCTCCCTATCCTAACTCAGTGAGTTCACATGGCGAGTCGCCAGATCCGTATGTAAGTCCTGCCCCTCACACGCACGGGCCATCGTCTGCGCCAAGATCGTACTTTGGCTCCTCTACGCTGAGTTCGACCACTTCTTACGCGGTTGACAGCCACTCGTACGCTGGCTCCGGAGGTTATCCGGGGAGCGAGCCTAGACTCGAAACCGAGCCCTCGGCCGACGCCCGTCGCCTCGGGCCAAAACGTAGAGTGACCGCCAACCGCAAAGAACGCCGTCGAACAGCATCGATCAATAATGCCTTTTCTGATTTACGTGATTGCATCCCCAATGTTCCCCCTGACACGAAGCTTTCAAAAATCAAGACATTGCGTCTGGCCACCTCATATATCGCCTATCTCATGGAACTGCTCGATTCGGAAAACGCCAATTTGGACGCGCTCACAACGCTTCCCGGTCACGGATTTAAGGCCGAACTTGGCAAACGGACAAGGACGCCCGAACAGGAGGAGCGTCGAAAACGGGAACTTGTAAGTGCAACGAAAAAACGCAGTAACGAGAAATCGTTGCGAACAATATATCTGCAGTTAGCTAGTCGTTCATTAAATTGTTTTAGACAATTTGGTATTATTTTTTTAAATGGTTTAAACATGCCGTTTCGTATGCGGCTACAGTTGATAGCGATTTAGAAGGGTCATTGTTTTATATTTGATGGTTTATAGATCCATTACAAAGTGTTTAGTAGTGCCAATGATAACTGAGAAACTGAAAGCATATGGGGGGACTACATCTATAGTATTCACGTATTCTACAGTCAAACACGCGAGGTTCAGTCTGAAATGCTTTAGCTGTACTCAATAAATTACCAAATAGCTAGTTTAACTAATGTCCATTGTTAATCATGGTGCACTTATAGATTGTTAACTCCGAGCTAAACTCTAAGCCAGATGCAACCCTACTGGTCAACAACCCAGAAGTGTGTCCCACTATTTGTTCGCAGGATTTATCCACAAGCATCGAACACGATTTTCTCTAGTACTTGGTTTGATCCTATGATTTGTATTAAGTGTGAATATGCATGTTCCTCGGTACGGTGCGTGTGTGATCCATTCACGGGCGTCGCGAAACGTTTACAGCGCGACTACATGACAGGTCACACCCCCGCACCCCGATCTGTTTTCATATTCGGCCATTCACAGGCACATCCAAAGTAGCGTCCCTCCCGTCAACAATAGCGTAGTGTCGGTACGTTCAGCGGTTGAAGCGTCGAATAGGTCATGATCCCAACCGCGATTGAGTGCTCAATAGTTCAGCTAGCGGCAGCAAGCCTTTGAAAGGCCATCGCATCGGCAAAAGTTCAAACAAAGCTGAATGGCTTCCGTTATTTTGTGGTGGACGTCTGTCCATAAGTGTTTATATGAAAGCAGATAGGTTACCCAGCGATTGATTGGTTGAATCGTATCAACGCAGTGGGACACCCATGGTGAGCTGTGCCAGTGGTAGTTGAACACAAAAATCGCTGTGGAACTCTATGGAGCTAAGGACGGGGGTGCATGCAAAGTATAGGAGCCCTCCCGGAACAGCGAAGGGGTATTTTTTTCCCTATCAATATGCATAGCTGAGAGATAACTTTGCTGAAACGTCCTGAAATGTCTGTGAGTCGTAGGCGGTGTTGGAGCCGACGACAGGATATTGACATTCATATGGTCAAGTCTGAGCACACCTGCCCGACAAAGGACACCTGCGAAGTGCTTTTTGGCTCAAAGGTCCTATCTAGCTTGCACATCTGGCGCAATCCTATCGACGGGTTGTCGGAAACAACAGCGCACAGAGTAGCTCGGGTTTCAACGTAAAATACGTAAAAGTCGTCCTAAAACTACTGTATATTAATACACTACGAATTAACCGACTTGAAATATTTGCATCCTATTTCTTGGTAAATAATGGTGTGAGCGATACAAAGCTTTCTAAAGAGTCTTGTAGCTATATGTAACGCCTTGTACTATATGTTATCTGGTAGAAGGAAAGTTGAACTGGCTTTTTATACTATAAGTTCGTATCGATAACATTTCTAAAAAGAAGTGAACCTTAACGCGGTGTAACAGTGGTATCGAGCTTAAGCTTGAATTTGTTTTTGGTACCAAAAGCGACGATGATTGTGGATGTCGTTTGCAACACTTTTACGCTCTCTATATCATCAGCGTTCGATCTCTTCGCACTGAATTGACTAGGTGAGCACTGCTGATTGGTGACAAAATTAGGACACCATGGTTAGTGGTCAATCATTACCCTCTAAAAGTTATGCGAAGTTTTCTAAACATTGGCAAACTTAATTCTTAGTTTAATGAAGACAAACGTTTATTGTTGTGCCGAGTTTTCTAAAGCGTTCTGCAGCGCGGACTCAGTTCGATTTAATAATTTCGTCTGGTTCCGCCCAACCAAATTCGACGTAATATCTATTGGAAGCGTATCCTCTTTGGGCCCGGGACCTGCCCAGTTTCTCCATTAGCGATCTAATTCGCCAGGTGTTAGTGCAGTACTGAAATCGGACACGGCTTTTCCGCATCAAACGATGCTTCCATACTCTACATAATACGACTGTGATTTTACTTGCCTGACGCTTAAACGGGCGTCTTCGGAAGGCTGTAAACCGTCACACAACCAAATTAATCGGTCCGGCACAACGCTCCTGGAACTTTCTATGGTGCCTGTCGAGTCACCGCCCCCATCGTCTGCGAATCGGCCTGTTAGCTTGATTACGTATAGTGCTTCTATCGAGCGCTCACAACAACATAGAGAAAGAACATTCGTGGGAACAACAGCGACAAAATGTCTTGTTAGATACCGTTACTGTAGAGGTTAGAATCTGGGTATCTATCAACAGCTTCCAAAGGACATGCGGAAAACACCAAAAGCATAGTGTAAAATAGTATACTAGAGGTTTTTTGAAGTATCTTGAATCAGTGTACACTAATACTTTTTTTCACACGGTCACGGTATCTACTCGCATTTGAAGTATCTCTATAAGATTCAACTATAGAACGTGGTATGTTGTGCCTGATATTCCTTTACTTATATACACGGTTTGTACGCAGATGGTGTCTTCATTGACAGTTGTATTTAAGCCCGTTGAGCTATGCACACGATTTGAATCTATTATAGACAATAATTTTTGACCGGGTCAAGAAATCATTGAAACACCGAACAACTATGCACCCATTGTAGAGCACTACGACCTATCCGATTGACCATAAATGGCCATAGCGTCAGCTGCAGGTTCGTATGCTCGTATTAATGTACTGCAATTTTTCAAAGGGTCTCCCAAGTTGAAGTTATTTAGTTGTAACGAAGTCTGACGCAAATCTGCGCCTGATGGTATCTTCGATAACATTCGAAATAAAATCTTTAATTATAAGAAGCTATCGGTCCTGTTTCGGAACTCGTTTGTATTTTATTTAAGTTGTAGTTAGCAATAGTTACACACTCGACGGTATTGAATGAAGCAGAAAAGGCATTAACTTGTTTTTGGTTGTTGTGGTTTTCGTCCGCCTGCACCTAAACGTTGTTTCTAATGGATCAATGCTCCATTCTATGTTCGACCTACTTTCTCACTTCTGGCTGTTTCGCTCATTTTCCCAGCCTTAGGTCAATTTTTTTCTTATCCAAACTTCTCGCTGTTCCTTTGGCGACCTTCTAAGGCTAGCAAAAGCAAACCGTTTTCTCCATCAATCTCTTTCGAAGAAAATAGAAAGAACACGCTAAAGAAGATGTTTCTTAGGCCGTAGCAAACGCTCGAGCCGTTCAGAGAGAGAGAGAGAGAGCTGTAAATGTTTTTCTACCTTGGTCTGATTCGTTCTTATTTGCTCATCATCGTAATCCTCAAGGATACGGTTTGCTGATGGCAGCAGTGTCTCATCCTTATCTGGTGACTCGAACCTCTTGACAAAGTAACTGGCCAACAAAAAGTTAAATGCTAATAGACGACACCCCTTAAATGTTTAGAATGTGAAATGTGACAGTGATATGCGCTACAAACGCATCGTTCAGTTAAGGTAAATCATTCGAAACGTACCGTTTATGAAAACAATGACCACTTCTACCAAACGTATATAATAATAATAAACGTTATAATAAAGAGCGTGATTTGTGAAGATGCCTAAAATGTTTGCCTCGTAAGTCTACGGTGATTTGTTCGGTTAGACTTGTGGGCTTCTCCCGGAGATCATTTGCGTTTATAGGCAGCTATCTCGGGACCAGCAAACTAATCGATAATTAGGACCTTCTCTTTTTGACAAACGAATTTTGTCGTTGGCATAGCGTCCTTCTCATGCCATAATAATAAAATTCTTTAGTTTTCTGTGCTAATCCGAAAACGCCTCAATAACTCGAACTGATCCCCAATATAATCGAACGTCTTTGTTAGATTAGTTGCAGGTAATACCGGAAACGCTGTTAAAAAAAAGTATACCTAGTTTAACTAAGAGGTAATTCAGGCTGTGTGGCACGCCGTAGATACAGGCCCCCACTGAAACAGATGTTAAACCAGCATACATATAGGTACCCACACGGTTTGCAAGATCGCGTGCAGTAGCAAATGCAGAGTTTTTCAGGTTAGGTTATCAGGATCCATGTATGCTGTAAATGTATATTGCAATACAGAATAAAGTTAAGTGTGCATAGCACCGCTTTGCATCGAGTATTCCACCAACAAAAATGATTGTGTGCACTGCGTCATATACATAAACATTAATTCATTTGAATGAAAATAGTATAGATAAATTATAGTATGATTAAGTAATGTTGCCCGCGTTTCTACTCAATTGTGCCTTTTTTTCCAAGTTTCCATGATCTGCGGCCTGATCAGCATGATGAAATGCAATACCTTCGATCATCTGCATTTTAATGCTATTACCATTTTTGATTAGTTAAAGGTCGCTTAGCACTATTCAGGTGGTATACACAAAATATCCTCATTGTGCCTTCTTTAGTTCTGGATTAACAACTCGAGCGGTATGGTAGATAGAGCCACTCGGTACATACAGGAGAACGTTGAGCTTTTGGAAGTTTTCGCCGTCTCCGAAATGTTCTACATCTACCCGTTTAAAGGAGCGAACAAAACAAAGTGAAACTAGTATACCCCCACAGTGACGCTAAACATAGGTATCGTACTGGTGATAAAAAAAATGACTGGTAAAGCCCAACGCGTTTTATGGGCTGGTCATGTTCACAGTTTCAATCGCTCATCACAGTTATAATTGAAACCTGTGGGTTAGTGTTAACATAAAAGATGATCACACACGTGTCCATTGAGAAAATGCCTGAACGAACCCCCACAAACCATGTTTCACTGTGTTTCTGTCTCTATTCATCCGCCATAACGAACGGGGCATCTTCGACAAGTATTGCATAGCTTTTCTCATTCCGGAATTTTACGGCCATCCCTGCGATTTTCATTGTTCCACTGCGTATAACAATAACCATCGAAGCAGTTCAGATTTATTATATGGGCGTCATTCCCTTGATTGATCCG